GCTTACGGTTAAACTCGTTGGTCAAGAGCAGAGGATCAAGTGACAAGTGTCTGAAGGTGAGCCAACATAAATTATCTTCCCTTTTCTATTCTGTCCTTTTGCTGCATTCAGTCTTCAACCCTCTTATTGTTGTTAACTACTTGTTTTCCCAAGAAGTTTATATCATAGCGACATGTCTGCCCAAAACGCTAGGTCTGAAGCTTTGACACGGATAACGCGGTCGTGCACAACAACGGCCAGTAACACCCTAAACAACACACTAGTCTGTACTAGAAGACAAACAGAGGTAGGGCAGAACACCGAACTTCTAAAGAAGTGGCCAACCCATGTTTCTAGAATTCCAGTAGCCATCAGACAGGTGACACAGAGTAGCACTAGCCCGTCACAAACTAGTCCTATCTTGAGCAAGGATCATACCATGCCTGGAAATAGAAGACGACGTAAAAGGCTTCAGAACAAGGCAGCCACAAGCAGTTCGCCACAATCCGTAGCACCTTATTCATGGAAGGAAGGCTGTATTACGACACCCGATGGCTGCAGTGTTTGCACCAAAGTTGTTTCGGTAGTCGATGAGGCATTTGCATGCAACCTATGTCAACGATGGGCGCATTGCCACTGCGACACCAAAGTCCCCCGACAATACTATAAGCTGATGAAGAGACAACCATGCAAGTGGTTCTGGTACATCTGTCCAGAGTGCAGGAAAATGCCCGCACTCCGCACAGAAAGCCTGAAGGAGATGCTCTCCGCCACGCAAAAGCTACCAGCATCCTCGAATAAAGTAGGGTTAACACCAAAGGATAACACAGAGAGACCTGGAAACAGACCTAGAGCTCCAGCTGTGGGCACGCCACCTCGCGTGGGGACCATATTAGGTCAAGTCTCCATACCCCCACCCGGCCCCAGGGGACGTCAAGCGCATGGCCAAAGACATCGACCGCCGAAGCCTCTACGAAACCCATTCCGAACACCCCACACACCGTGACTGAGAAACAACCAGTGGAATTACTCAAACCCATTGGGAAGTCGGGCGTGCCACCCACAACGAACCCAGGTCACAGGAGGACCAACTCGATCATTTTGTTCAACGTCGATGTATCGACAGACTCATTGTTGGTCGAGAGGGAACGGTTTGACAGCCGAATGTGGACCGACTACTGTCAGATGCTGGGACTCCCTCCCCTCCCTGCAACTTTATGTCGCCTTTCTCGAGGAAGCCGTGCACCCCGAGATAAGCCACCCCCTTTACGTGTGTCCCTAAATACTGCCAAAGAGGCTGAAGACACACTCCTCCTCTCGCGACAACCGGACGTTGTTAATGCCTGTAAAATTCGGGCCAGGCCTGACAAGCCATGGTCAATAAGAGAGGAGGAGAGAAAGTCAGCGGTTGGAAATCCCAACAGAAACAACACTATAGTTGTACATGGGATTCCAGAATTGCCAAGTGACCGCTCGGTCAAAGATCGGTACTTTCACGACGTCCAACAATGGCAATGGCTCTCAACCAAAGTTGGTCTCAACAGTATACCGGCCAACAGCGTCAGTAGACTGCCAAGGCCAGCGCACCTGAAGACCATACCCAATCCCAGACTACTCGCCGTCCAGTTCGACTCATATGCCTCCCTCACAGACGTTCTACACGCATGGTATAATGCGAAGGATCGCATGGGTGGCTCAATACGTATATGTGAAAGTAAGCCTAGACCCACAAGGCAAGAGGAGAGACGACAACCACCAAGACCTCTGGAGTCAGTGGTCGTCACACAGGCGCTGACCAGTGAGTTAGATACATCAAGTAAAGAAGCCACCACTGCCACAGCCCCCACCCAAGTTAAGAACAAAACACCAAAAAACGGAACAATGCCAGTCCTATGAGGACTGGCGAGGGTAGACCCAACCACATAAGCTCTCATCCTGCGAAAATACACAACCAGACCTCCCCCTCACCAGGCACACTCTAATATGTATGTACAGCAACGTTAGGGGGCTAAGAGGGAAGGTAGCAGAAATGAGGACGCTGCGTGAACATCAGCACTCCGACATCATATTCATCACCGAATCCTGGCTCTCGCCAGACATCTCCGACGAAGAGATGCATGTTACTGGCATGGAACTCTTCCGCAGGGACAGGGAACATAGAGCAGGAGGGGAGTGGCTATCTACGTAAACTCCTGTTTAAAGGCAAGGATGGTTAGCGATACGGCCTTAACCCAGCTCCCAGAGTCCCTATGGTGCTACTTCACTCTCCACAGTACCAAATACCTGCTCGGAGTCATATATCGGTCCCCCACCTGCTCCCCTACACATAAGGAAATGATCATCAAGGCTATCTTAACGACTTCCTCTGCAAATTACGATTCCGTAGTCATTGCCGGCGACTTCAACACCCCGTCCATCCTCTTCGAGACGGAAGGGAGACGCATCAGATCCTTCAATCAGAAGCTGAAGGATGCAATTAAGACTGCTGGCCTCTCAGAGAAAGTGGGTGATGCTACACGCTGGGGACCTAACGGAAACGCATCGCGCCTTGACTACGTTCTGACGAACGATGAACTTCTCATTGAGGATGTTTGCATCCAACCTCCCCTTGGCCTCAGTGACCACGCTGTAATCACCTTCTCCATGATAACTAGGGAGGCTCTGCAACTGGAGACGCCCAACACCTTCCCTTGCTACAGCAAGGCCAACTATGAGACCATGAGGGACTACCTCATGAATGCATCATGGCCAGTGGACTGGACTCATCTCACAATAGATGAACACTGGTTGGAGGTGAAGAAAATAATCACTGGGGCCATCAGTCACAGTGTACCAGAAGTAACACACAGACAATCAATGAGAACCTCATGGTTAAAGCGTGGGACAGAGAGGCTTATCCGGAGCAAGAAGCAGGCTTGGTTCAAGTGGCTTACATCACGCAGGGAGTCTGACTTCTTGAACTACAAAAGGATTCGCAATCTCTGTAACATTAGAGTGCGTAACGACAGATTTTCCTACCAAACAAACTTGGCAGCGAGGTTACAAAGCAACCCCAAAAACCTGTACCGCTTCATGTCAAGAAGAAAGTCGACCAGTAAGGGAGTGAATCTTGTCACAGGCCATGACGGGAGTGTGCTAAGCAGTCTAGAGATTGCCGAGCTTTTGAGCTCACACTTCCAAGCCCAACTCAGCACTGACACAAGATCCACACCGACTCGCCACGACACCGACCAGGTCGCAAATAACGAATACCTCTGTCACGTCTCTATTACAGAGAAAAAGGTGTTCGAGAAGCTATCTAGGCTACGTCCGGGCAAGTCCCCTGGCTGCGATAACCTGAAACCAGTGGTTCTGAAAAACTGCGCCGAGGTGCTTACCAAACCACTTCGCAACCTCTTTGAGCACTCAATAGACTCGTGCAAACTCCCTAAAGAATGGAAGAGCGCCATCTTGTCACCCATCTTCAAGGGAGGAGACAGAAAAACCCTGGCAGCTACAGGCCGATTGCCCTACTCCCTATTGTGTCGAAAGTGTTGGAAAGCCTGGTAGCTGACACCATCTGGGAATTCCTCAATAGAGAAAACACTGTCCACACTGCTCAGCACGGCTTTCGTAGTGGTCGCTCATGTGCCACCAACTTACTAACTGCCTGGGACGACTGGACACAAAGCTGGGATAATAGAAAACCTGTACATGTATTTCTCGACCTAGCCAAAGCATTTGACAGTGTCCCACCCACAGTACTGCTTCACAAGATCATGTCAGCTGGTATAAGTGGACCCCTACTCTCTTGGTTCAAGGAGTACCTGGAAGGGAGGCAGTTCTGCACTAAAGTGAACAGAATAAGGTCGGAGTGGAGACCGTCGACGTCAGGAGTATCCCAAGGAGCAATCCTAGGACCGCTTCTGTTCCTCCTGTTTGTCAACGATCTGCCAGACAAAATATCCTCACCCATCCTCCTCTTCGCTGACGACATAAAAATTTGGAGGGTGGTAAACGAAGAAGCCGACTGTGCAGCACTACAAAAGGACTTGCAGCAACTCGAGCTCTGGTCGTCGGAAAATGGCTGAGCTTCAACTGGAAAAGTGCAAAGTAATGCACATCAGTAAAAATGAGGCAAGTACGACCGACTTCCAGTACATGTTGAGCAACCGTGCTATCACCAGAGTGTCCATGGAGAAAGATTTGGGGCTCAACTTCTCCGACACCTTGGACACCAGCTCCAACTACAAAGGTATGACAACCAGAGCGAACGCCATTCTACACTTTCTGCGTAGACAGCTTGGCGCCCTCACTCCCGAACTCTTCCTCACCATTTTCAAATCCTACGTGCGGCCGCACCTAGAGGTCTTCAATACGGTGGCTCCTCCAACACTCAAGAGAGACTCTAATCTCCTTGAAAGAATACAAAGAACTGCAACAAAATGTGTTGTGGGGCTAAGGTATTCTAGTTCGCAGCCGTGTAAAGGTTTATGAAGTATTGTCATGAGAATTGACGACAACTAGTGATATCCGCCAGGGATGCCTGCTGTCACCGTTCCTGTTTGACTCCATCATACATGCATTAATGGATATAATCTTAGCTACCTCCGAATTCATATGGATTGAAATAAGCACGCGAAGACACTGACAAAATGTAAGGTATTCTGAACACCTTGAGAAGAAACCTGAGTATGCATAACAAGCATTTCGCACCTGTCAAGTGTAAGATGATGCCTCAGGACTGGTCTGCAGCTACTCCCAGTTTAAGTGTGACAACTCCAATCGATGCACTTCTGTATCAGGTTCTACGATGATTTTATCTGTCCGTCCGTTTACACTTCAAATGATTAAAACGTAGTAAAGTCATTCAATAGTTATCACTTACGATGGCATTATGTGTAAAAGTCAACTACCTACAACAAAATGTCAATGTGGGCAATTCAATAGCCATACAAATAATAAAGGAACAATAAGCACTGCATAGTAAGCATAAAATTTAGTGATTAGGTATAAACATGCAACGCTCATAAAGGATAAACTCACACAAACGTTAAAACGCATGTATTTACAACTTTTCCGCATACATACTTTGACATACAATTTAATGAAAGAAATAGGACACGGGCATTCATGCAAACTATAACACAGAAATATACTATGAAAAGAAATAGGTGATACACATAGTTAAATGAAACATAAACTAAAAGGTTGATTTTTGTCGTCTTCAGTGTTTGGTAAGATTTCCTTCCGTACATTTGGACCACTGAATTCATACTACAAGCAGAAAAGTAAATACTTAAAATAACATCCAAACGGTAATGATACATCGAGAATATAAATATTGGTGAATATATATATATATATATATATATATATATATATATATATCTATATATATATCATATATATATATATATATTTATATATATAATTCTCAACAACACCAGTCAGCAAGGTACATTTACAACTTCAAGTAGACGAATACTCGTTCAAAGACTAGAATGTGCATCACCAATAGTTGCAGTGACAGACATTAGCAATGAGTTACATAAACAACAATTATTTCCTCTTATTCCCTTTAACGTCTACTGAAATCCATGAATCAGGTGTGCAGCGTGATGCAAGAAGGCAGATAGACAGATCAGCGTGGAAACTAGAACACAAGTGAATTGGTTTATTTTCACACTACACAGTAGCATGAGAAGAAAGTGTACAGAAAAAGTTAGACTGAGGTAGACCAATGTGTATTAGGAGACAGCGCAAGAAGAAGAAATGAATGGGAATACTAAAGACGTTGAATATAACGAAGAATAACTGTATCATTAAGACCAATTTTCAGCCTATCATCAAAATTTTCAAACCACTGATTTCTATTCTCTCCAAGACCCTGTCAACCAACCTATACCTCTCTGCATAGCTCAGACGAACAAGCAAAGACTTCATGGACTGGTGTCATGTCTAAGCCTGACTAATCTTAGCCTTCTTTCAACCTAATCCTACTAAGGATCACATTTCACGTAGAAATAAGCGGTGCCTCGGTACATGCAACGTGTCCAGACTGCCTCAGTTTGTGAAGGCTTACAACATTACCGACTAACTTGGCTCCTTTGCCTAACACTCTACGCCTCACCTTATCATTGTTCACACAGTGATTCCACCATATATGAGCAATGCTGCAAAGACATATGTGGTCTTTTCATATTTTCCACCTTTAACGATCATATCTCACAGCCGTATAACAGGACAGAACGGACTGCAGTGCAATATGCTCGGCTTTTAATAGGTAGTCAGATATCCCGCTGGTGCTAGAGATGGCATAAGTTGGCAGATACTGAACAGGTTTTTTTTACCCCAACTAAAATTGCGTCAGAGAACAACCCATTCGGACTGATGCGACTTTCCAGGTAAGTGAAGTAGTCAATGCATTCTACAATATGCACTCCTTCTTCTTAGACTGAATTGGTTCAGAGCAGTTATTCAACAGTTGAAAAGTCCATGGCAAATATACTAAGATTTATACCCAAGGTTTTCTAAAGACTCTTCTTTTTGTCAGCATCTTAGCTTCAAGTGTTCAAACACCGTTGCCTCCATAGCGTAAGTCGTGTTGTGGTGTCACTACATGAGTATCATAAAAGGCACTCGTAGAGTTGTGAACTTTCATCGACCTAAATAAGTGGAAAACGCTCTCAGCAACATGTTCCACATTGGCGCAGCAGGCAATGAACTACACCTACTTAATGAGGACTTATGGCACTACCTGACTCCCCGAACCTCGGTTAGTGGAGTGATTTTCGAACTTGTAACCCATTGATTGAAAACGAACTGCCCAAGCCAATGAACCACAGCTCTACAGTTGTTGGGGCATGTGTTATATATGCCTAATCACCGTCTGCACCGTCGCAAACTGTTAACTGAATTATGTCCAGGCTGGAAAAAGGTTAGGAACGATCACACTAAAACATCAGTTCATCGGTTCATGAAGTCCTTAACCGTTAGTCTCAGTAGTGTAGGGAAGTGTAGACTTTTAGGTTGAGGTTGGTATGACAAGAAAAACCAGTGAGTGGAGACTCTAGGTGATCTCAATAGCGCAGATACATCCACATATTATTTTCATCTTAATCGTCATACTGAATTTCAGTATTCTGTCATTCCTCCTTGCTCTCTTTTGATGACTTTCTACCACTTTCGAATGTTTTTTTCTTCATTTAATATATGAGAAGAATTTTGGCACTGTGGTAGAATTTGATTGTTTCACTGTGTGATGCATCTAATAAATCAACTAAAAACTATTTTGTTCCTTTGTGTTTCGTCTTGGTGCATTCTTGCTTAATGTACTGATATGAGATGTGTCAACTTGGACCGTTACGTAATGCTAGATCTTACGTTGATATTCTCTGTCTGCATTCACCTGACAGAACTGTTTTGTCTGTCAATCAGGTGTCCCTCTAAAGATTTAATTAATTCAGGTGAAATAGGAGGTACCTATGGTTATGCGTCTTAGTATGTCCATAAAAAAGTGTATCAAGATGGCTTTACTCAATGAATGATGATCTTCATCGTGCCCAATCATGCAACACTGCAATTCAGAATAGCTTGAATGGTGCTATACTATAGAGAAAACAACGATCGAAAAAAGTAGTTGGGCATTATCATTTCGTAAAATTTAGATTACACAAACATGAAATAGAACTCCCCAAACCTACGTGTTGTATACCCAACCTTCAACTTCTGCGGTAACATCACAAAAGGTACCAAAGGTGAAACAGATGTATCACTCTAACTTCCACATGTAGTTGAAAACTTGATCAGCCACACCACCACCAGTACTCATACGGCTATCCAGATATACAGAATTCTCGACAACTTTCAACGCTCCACCGCCAAAGGTGAGGGCAGGCGTATAGGCTACGACCGATTTTGTAGAAGTAATTTACACTTCCACGGTGAAAAGTACACAACACGCTTACGGACACCCATCATCAACTGATTAAGTGTGGTTTGAGTAGCATGTATCTTGTCGCACAGTAAAACGACATACTGAAGGTTAAAAAGTCTTACACCTGGTAGAAAATCTATACCGCCAAAATCATTGGGCGTCTCTTTTAGTGACATCTTGAGAATTTCGACCAAGGCAAAATTGATGAGAAATGGTGAAGTCGGACAGCCTCGCCTAGCTCCGCGGTTGATTTGTAACAATAGGTGGTCGTATACATTTACCTATCTTTTGCATATTTGTATAGGGTCTCCAAGGTGCTAATTTTTTAGGGACGGTCCTCTACAAGACAAATTCAGAGCATAACCTTATCCAACGAATCCAAGGCAACCCTAATATGAAGAAACACAATGACTACTGGTCTCCAATAAGTGTAGTAGTGTTTGATAAACTGACGGAAGGTGGTCACGGCTGTATACAGAGCTGCGATTCTTACTGACGATGTTATTAAACTCACGCTGATGAACTGAAAATCAAAATTTTGACCTAGTTTTTTTCTTTGCAAACAGATAATACCTACTAAGGTTGTGAAACAATAACAATTCATTCCCGAAACCAGTTTTAACGCTATGGACATTATGCAAATTAGTTAATGGCGAAACAGAGTTGAAAATTTTCTTGTCTATTAACCAAGGAACTAGCTATTTTGCAACTAGATAAACTTTATTTGCTTTCAAATCAAAAAAAATCTATGTGTCTATATAACTGTCCATTCTATATTCCACTGCTTTCTAAGTGACTAGGTACAAAGTCAAGAAGCTTAAACCACATAAGTTTAGTTTTTCTGAGGTGAAAATTCCCAAGAAAAGTTCATATATTTAATGTGAGAGAAGTATTAAATGCCTTGGCTGGTTTTTTAATATTGATCTTATTAGTTGACAACAACAGCAACCTAAGAGCTAAAAAAATTTGACTTCACAAAAACGTTCGTAATTTAGTTTATGATAAACGTTTGGTAACTTGCAGAGTAAACTATCTTGTGGTAAAGATGAGTACAAAATATATCGAAGTAGTAATGTATGAAACTCAAATTGTTCAACAATACACCTTATAACAAAAATTAATCTTAAGAGTTGTGAACTATACACCGACTAGTGATGAAGCCAACACACAATGTAATTATCAGAATCTTTGGACGATACTAAGACAACCAAGAGTTGCACTATCAGTATTAAAATCAGTAACAAGACTTATCAATGCAGTAAAGACAAGGGTAGTGAACTTTAAATTCGTTCGGGCAAATGACTGATAAATACCAAAAAACATAAAAAATGTATTCAAAATTCATGTTGAGATTAATTAACCCGTTGAAGTCATACTTTTTAAGCAGTGCTACCGCCACTTAGTCATATGGATTAAAGTGAACTGCTTGGAATTTATGCCCAAAATATTTGGAACTGAATGTTTAGATCACTGAGGAACAAAAACCTAGTCACATTGTTTGCTACTGATTATTTTCAGTTGTTTAGTGAGAAACAAAGAGAAATAAAATACCAAGTCAGTAGTTGATTATGTTGAAGTTGACGATGATTAAGTTTTCTAGCAAGACAATGAAAGCTTAGTCAGTAAGTCACCCAGCTCAAGAAATGTAGTAACACTTAGAACATGCTACCATCTGTGGAACATAAGGCTAACGGTCGTTGTGAAATCAGTGGGACGACAGAGGATGAAAAATATTGCTAATTGATTGGGTGGAATGCTTACAGTTAAACAATCATTATAACAGCTCAAAAATAAAGAACACAAGTTCCTGATATACTATTTTATAAATAAAACTTACAAAGGTGCCTGACGCAAACTGGGACGCTTCAGAACAGTTAATTTGCTTCCCGGCTAAAATTATCACATGACAAACTGAAAAGTAATATTATAATTTTACTACTAAGTTGTGTCAGGATTCAAGAGCATGTAGATTATTCAAAATGAACTGAATTACAACAGGTTAACAGCTCAAAATATACCATATCCACGGCAAATATGATATACGGAAGGCTTCGATAGAGTTGGCATAAACGCACCTTAACGTTAATTCACAATAGGAGTATTTCAGGAGTTCCACATGAAATGATGAATGAGTAACAAAACTTCATTAATAGAGAAGTAAAACTTCAGCACTATGATAAATTTTAATTCCATTTTACTCTGTTTACTAGATGTGTTACACAGTGAAACAGTATTATTTACTGAATAATGTTTCGAACATAATTCATCGTCCATATTCATATCAGATCCATTCTGAAGGTTCTTAAGAGCTTCCATCGCTAGTTTGGATAAATTAAGTTTCGTTTTCTATTGTTTCAGCGTTAGTGCACAGTGCTCGTACCTCATCCCCAATTGTCTTACCAATTGAACTTAATGCTATTTCTATATTGGGAATGACATCTGATTTCAATTCATTAACCGCTGCATTGAAACTAAGGTCTTTCCCTGGAAAATTTTCTTCTACTGAGCTAAGGATTCCAGTTTAGAGATAGACAACCCACTCTGATTTAACGATCGTTCGTGAGGTAGTATTAAAAATACCATTATTGCTGACTGCATACTTTCCTTCCATAAGTTTTTTAGAAATAGTTTTCTTTGTTACTAAAACCAACCTCAACCCTGAAATTTTCAAGCCAATGTACAGAGTATCAGTGTTCGTAAACTTCACTTCAAACTGCATTTTAGAGTTTCAAACGTCCGAATTTTATGTGTAGACGGAAGATACACTACATTAGCCAAAATTCTAGTATTTGGGGTAGTGGATATACATTGTTTTTCCAAGAAATACAAAATTCACTGTAATTTTTAATTTACTTAGTATGTAAAATGAGAGTGATGCGTGTAAAAATTTGCAGTCACTTGTTGTGAGCTTAAAAATGTAACTATACTGTAACATCTCATCACGTATTGATAGCATCCGCTCACATGCCCAATGATGTCAGTCGGGATAAAAACAGCTACATTCACCGAAATAAGCATCTTGGCTACCAACTTTGTGAACAGGCATAGCGGTACTTTTGGGATCGAATACCACTAACTTCCTGTGATATTTGCCGGGCCCAACCAATAAGACCTTGAAGGACATAAGGGAAGACTGTCTAAATTTCCCAACCAAGACACTAACACAAAGAGGTACATGTAATAATGCTATGAGCTACTGTTGCAGGGATCGGTGTAGCAAAGATGTTTTTATTGAATTTAATTGCTTAAAACTTGACCACCTTTCGATTTGAACATGTAAGTGCGAATTATGAGGCTTAGAGCCGATTTTCACATTTACTTTAAATGAGCCTCTAGACAGCTTGCAACTCAATATGAGCCGTTGAATAATTCTTGACTTCTAAGATAATAAATTGTTTACTACAGAGCTTAACTACGTTGGTCACTTAAAGGAAGCCTGTACATGTACCCTATCTTATCTTTCTGATTTTTAAAATACCAATTACTAGTTTCTTTTCGACTGACTCAGCACTAAGTTAGCAGTTAAACAACACAAAAGAGGCAGAATCAGAATGAGATTAACAATGATCGTGTGGTTCTTCAGCCTCATTTTTTGATGTATTACATACAGCATATATTATAAAAAACTAAAAGTAGTCACTAAATTTACTAGGTTACTCCAATAAACTAACACACTCCTTATAAATTCAAATCACAAAGCAAATAATTCACATAACTGGCAAATTCTAAACATAAAACAAACTCACAATTAATGTTATCGTACAATTTCAGTTCCACGAAATCTCCAATACAGCTTAGGACAGCAACTTCATGCATACATAATAATGTTGATTCAGAGTGTACATTTGAAAGAATGGTTAAAACAGGATTTTTGTCATTGGATGCACTCCATACATAAACGAAGACTTCTCCGAATTCTTTAGACATAGGTAAGCAATAAGTACATTGGGGGGATGATTGCTTAAGATATAAGTCAAAGAAACATACTGGTGGATCAGTTTCAATAGGTCCGAATATACCTAAATTGCAACAGAATAACGATAACGAATTAAATAGGCAATAAGCAATAATAATAAGAACTAGAAATCAATTTGAATGAATAAAGTATCATGGTAACATTATATGAATAATGATTAAAACTTGACTGAATAGTATCACAAATATTGGGCATAGAGTGAAAAGTTAACACTAAGTACAGATTATATCTGTACAAACCTCAGTATATTTGAAATAAAATAATTCCAATGTTTCATACAGAATTTTCGGGGAGATAACCAAAAATTAGAATATCAAACGATTATCGATTGAACTGTCTAAGATAACCAAAGCTTTTAAGACTGGTACTGATGTTATAGGATGATTAAAATTTGAGTAAAAACCTTAGTAGCACCAGGATTCAAACCACCGACTTTCAGTTCAGCGCTCTACCTGCTGAGCTATGAGAACTGACTCCTGGTTTGTAGATCTAAAACACCTTAGCAGAGGTTAAGAAGTTGGAAAACAAATCGGCGATTGCGCAGCACATGGTAGAAACGGGCGAAAAACTCGATTTTAATGAAACCAAAGGTCTACAAAAAGATTTAGGGTCATAAAAAGAACTATTTATCAAAGCTCTATACATATGGGCAGATCCAAATAATTTGAACGGACGAAGAGTATAGTTATCTGATTCTTTTCAACTACGAAGTAACAAGCTTAAAGGGCGATTCTTGCATTTACTTTCACCACCAGTGTCATCTTCATCTTTGCATCAACAACACACAATGAGTTGATTTAATGAACTATTATTACCATTATTCATAACTATTTGTTTCTGTTTTATTCCAACAACACAATGGAAAAAAAATAAGTAATATAAACTCATCCTTAATCTGAAAGAGACGATAATTATATCCGTTTCATATGACCTACTGTAATCCCATATATATATATATATATATATATATATATATATATATATATATATATATATATATATATGGGATTACAGTAGGTCATATGAAACGGATATAATTATCGTCTCTTTCAGATTAAGGATGAGTTTATATTACTTATTTTTTTTCCATTGTGTTGTTGGAATAAAACAGAAACAAATAGTTATGAATAATGGTAATAATAGTTCATTAAATCAACTCATTGTGTGTTGTTGATGCAAAGATGAAGATGACACTGGTGGTGAAAGTAAATGCAAGAATCGCCCTTTAAGCTTGTTACTTCGTAGTTGAAAAGAATCAGATAACTATACTCTTCGTCCGTTCAAATTATTTGGATCTGCCCATATGTATAGAGCTTTGATAAATAGTTCTTTTTATGACCCTAAATCTTTTTGTAGACCTTTGGTTTCATTAAAATCGAGTTTTTCGCCCGTTTCTACCATGTGCTGCGCAATCGCCGATTTGTTTTCCAACTTCTTAACCTCTGCTAAGGTGTTTTAGATCTACAAACCAGGAGTCAGTTCTCATAGCTCAGCAGGTAGAGCGCTGAACTGAAAGTCGGTGGTTTGAATCCTGGTGCTACTAAGGTTTTTACTCAAATTTTAATCATCCTATAACATCAGTACCAGTCTTAAAAGCTTTGGTTATCTTAGACAGTTCAATCGATAATCGTTTGATATTCTAATTTTTGGTTATCTCCCCGAAAATTCTGTATGAAACATTGGAATTATTTTATTTCAAATATACTGAGGTTTGTACAGATATAATCTGTACTTAGTGTTAACTTTTCACTCTATGCCCAATATTTGTGATACTATTCAGTCAAGTTTTAATCATTATTCATATAATGTTACCATGATACTTTATTCATTCAAATTGATTTCTAGTTCTTATTATTATTGCTTATTGCCTATTTAATTCGTTATCGTTATTCTGTTGCAATTTAGGTATATTCGGACCTATTGAAACTGATCCACCAGTATGTTTCTTTGACTTATATCTTAAGCAATCATCCCCCCAATGTACTTATTGCTTACCTATGTCTAAAGAATTCGGAGAAGTCTTCGTTTATGTATGGAGTGCATCCAATGACAAAAATCCTGTTTTAACCATTCTTTCAAATGTACACTCTGAATCAACATTATTATGTATGCATGAAGTTGCTGTCCTAAGCTGTATTGGAGATTTCGTGGAACTGAAATTGTACGATAACATTAATTGTGAGTTTGTTTTATGTTTAGAATTTGCCAGTTATGTGAATTATTTGCTTTGTGATTTGAATTTATAAGGAGTGTGTTAGTTTATTGGAGTAACCTAGTAAATTTAGTGACTACTTTTAGTTTTTTATAATATATGCTGTATGTAATACATCAAAAAATGAGGCTGAAGAACCACACGATCATTGTTAATCTCATTCTGATTCTGCCTCTTTTGTGTTGTTTAACTGCTAACTTAGTGCTGAGTCAGTCGAAAAGAAACTAGTAATTGGTATTTTAAAAATCAGAAAGATAAGATAGGGTACATGTACAGGCTTCCTTTAAGTGACCAACGTAGTTAAGCTCTGTAGTAAACAATTTATTATCTTAGAAGTCAAGAATTATTCAACGGCTCATATTGAGTTGCAAGCTGTCTAGAGGCTCATTTAAAGTAAATGTGAAAATCGGCTCTAAGCCTCATAATTCGCACTTACATGTTCAAATCGAAAGGTGGTCAAGTTTTAAGCAATTAAATTCAATAAAAACATCTTTGCTACACCGATCCCTGCAACAGTAGCTCATAGCATTATTACATGTACCTCTTTGTGTTAGTGTCTTGGTTGGGAAATTTAGACAGTCTTCCCTTATGTCCTTCAAGGTCTTATTGGTTGGGCCCGGCAAATATCACAGGAAGTTAGTGGTATTCGATCCCAAAAGTACCGCTATGCCTGTTCACAAAGTTGGTAGCCAAGATGCTTATTTCGGTGAATGTAGCTGTTTTTATCCCGACTGACATCATTGGGCATGTGAGCGGATGCTATCAATACGTGATGAGATGTTACAGTATAGTTACATTTTTAAGCTCACAACAAGTGACTGCAAATTTTTACACGCATCACTCTCATTTTACATACTAAGTAAATTAAAAATTACAGTGAATTTTGTATTTCTTGGAAAAACAATGTATATCCACTACCCCAAATACTAGAATTTTGGCTAATGTAGTGTATCTTCCGTCTACACATAAAATTCGGACGTTTGAAACTCTAAAATGCAGTTTGAAGTGAAGTTTACGAACACTGATACTCTGTACATTGGCTTGAAAATTTCAGGGTTGAGGTTGGTTTTAGTAACAAAGAAAACTATTTCAAAAAAACTTATGGAAGGAAAGTATGCAGTCAGCAATAATGGTATTTTTAATACTACCTCACGAACGATCGTTAAATCAGAGTGGGTTGTCTATCTCTAAACTGGAATCCTTAGCTCAGTAGAAGAAAATTTTCCAGGGAAAGACCTTAGTTTCAATGCAGCGGTTAATGAATTGAAATCAGATGTCATTCCCAATATAGAAATAGCATTAAGTTCAATTGGTAAGACAATTGGGGATGAGGTACGAGCACTGTGCACTAACGCTGAAACAATAGAAAACGAAACTTAATTTATCCAAACTAGCGATGGAAGCTCTTAAGAACCTTCAGAATGGATCTGATATGAATATGGACGATGAATTATGTTCGAAACATTATTCAGTAAATAATACTGTTTCACTGTGTAACACATCTAGTAAACAGAGTAAAATGGAATTAAAATTTATCATAGTGCTGAAGTTTTACTTCTCTATTAATGAAGTTTTGTTACTCATTCATCATTTCATGTGGAACTCCTGAAATACTCCTATTGTGAATTAACGTTAAGGTGCGTTTATGCCAACTCTATCGAAGCCTTCCGTATATCATATTTGCCGTGGATATGGTATATTTTGAGCTGTTAACCTGTTGTAATTCAGTTCATTTTGAATAATCTACATGCTCTTGAATCCTGACACAACTTAGTAGTAAAATTATAATATTACTTTTCAGTTTGTCATGTGATAATTTTAGCCGGGAAGCAAATTAACTGTTCTGAAGCGTCCCAGTTTGCGTCAGGCACCTTTGTAAGTTTTATTTATAAAATAGTATATCAGGAACTTGTGTTCTTTATTTTTGAGCTGTTATAATGATTGTTTAACTGTAAGCATTCCACCCAATCAATTAGCAATATTTTTCATCCTCTGTCGTCCCACTGATTTCACAACGACCGTTAGCCTTATGTTCCACAGATGGTAGCATGTTCTAAGTGTTACTACATTTCTTGAGCTGGGTGACTTACTGACTAAGCTTTCATTGTCTTGCTAGAAAACTTAATCATCGTCAACTTCAACATAATCAACTACTGACTTGGTATTTTATTTCTCTTTGTTTCTCACTAAACAACTGAAAATAATCAGTAGCAAACAATGTGACTAGGTTTTTGTTCCTCAGTGATCTAAACATTCAGTTCCAAATATTTTGGGCATAAATTCCAAGCAGTTCACTTTAATCCATATGACTAAGTGGCGGTAGCACTGCTTAAAAAGTATGACTTCAACGGGTTAATTAATCTCAACATGAATTTTGAATACATTTTTTATGTTTTTTGGTATTTATCAGTCATTTGCCCGAACGAATTTAAAGTTCACTACCCTTGTCTTTACTGCATTGATAAGTCTTGTTACTGATTTTAATACTGATAGTGCAACTCTTGGTTGTCTTAGTATCGTCCAAAGATTCTGATAATTACATTGTGTGTTGGCTTCATCACTAGTCGGTGTATAGTTCACAACTCTTAAGATTAATTTTTGTTATAAGGTGTATTGTTGAACAATTTGAGTTTCATACATTACTACTTCGATATATTTTGTACTCATCTTTACCACAAGATAGTTTACTCTGCAAGTTACCAAACGTTTATCATAAACTAAATTACGAACGTTTTTGTGAAGTCAAATTTTTTTAGCTCTTAGGTTGCTGTTGTTGTCAACTAATAAGATCAATATTAAAAAACCAGCCAAGGCATTTAATACTTCTCTCACATTAAATATATGAACTTTTCTTGGGAATTTTCACCTCAGAAAAACTAAACTTATGTGGTTTAAGCTTCTTGACTTTGTACCTAGTCACTTAGAAAGCAGTGGAATATAGAATGGACAGTTATATAGACACATAGATTTTTTTGATTTTGAAAGCAAATAAAGTTTATCTAGTTGCAAAATAGCTAGTTCCTTGGTTAATAGACAAGAAAATTTTCAACTCTGTTTCGCCATTAACTAATTTGCATAATGTCCATAGCGTTAAAACTGGTTTCGGGAATGAATTGTTATTGTTTCACAACCTTAGTAGGTATTATCTGTTTGCAAAGAAAAAAACTAGGTCAAAATTTTGATTTTCAGTTCATCAGCGTGAGTTTAATAACATCGTCAGTAAGAATCGCAGCTCTGTATACAGCCGTGACCACCTTCCGTCAGTTTATCAAACACTACTACACTTATTGGAGACCAGTAGTCATTGTGTTTCTTCATATTAGGGTTGCCTTGGATTCGTTGGATAAGGTTATGCTCTGAATTTGTCTTGTAGAGGACCGTCCCTAAAAAATTAGCACCTTGGAGACCCTATACAAATATGCAAAAGATAGGTAAATGTATACGACCACCTATTGTTACAAATCAACCGCGGAGCTAGGCGAGGCTGTCCGACTTCACCATTTCTCATCAATTTTGCCTTGGTCGAAATTCTCAAGATGTCACTAAAAGAGACGCCCAATGATTTTGGCGGTATAGATTTTCTACCAGGTGTAAGACTTTTTAACCTTCAGTATGTCGTTTTACTGTGCGACAAGATACATGCTACTCAAACCACACTTAATCAGTTGATGATGGGTGTCCGTAAGCGTGTTGTGTACTTTTCACCGTGGAAGTGTAAATTACTTCTACAAAATCGGTCGTAGCCTATACGCCTGCCCTCACCTTTGGCGGTGGAGCGTTGAAAGTTGTCGAGAATTCTGTATATCTGGATAGCCGTATGAGTACTGGTGGTGGTGTGGCTGATCAAGTTTTCAACTACATGTGGAAGTTAGAGTGATACATCTGTTTCACCTTTGGTACCTTTTGTGATGTTACCGCAGAAGTTGAAGGTTGGGTATACAACACGTAGGTTTGGGGAGTTCTATTTCATGTTTGTGTAATCTAAATTTTACGAAATGATAATGCCCAACTACTTTTTTCGATCGTTGTTTTCTCTATAGTATAGCACCATTCAAGCTATTCTGAATTGCAGTGTTGCATGATTGGGCACGATGAAGATCATCATTCATTGAGTAAAGCCATCTTGATACACTTTTTTATGGACATACTAAGACGCATAACCATAGGTACCTCCTATTTCACCTGAATTAATTAAATCTTTAGAGGGACACCTGATTGACAGACAAAACAGTTCTGTCAGGTGAATGCAGACAGAGAATATCAACGTAAGATCTAGCATTACGTAACGGTCCAAGTTGACACATCTCATATCAGTACATTAAGCAAGAATGCACCAAGACGAAACACAAAGGAACAAAATAGTTTTTAGTTGATTTATTAGATGCATCACACAGTGAAACAATCAAATTCTACCACAGTGCCAAAATTCTTCTCATATATTAAATGAAGAAAAAAACATTCGAAAGTGGTAGAAAGTCATCAAAAGAGAGCAAGGAGGAATGACAGAATACTGAAATTCAGTATGACGATTAAGATGAAAATAATATGTGGATGTATCTGCGCTATTGAGATCACCTAGAGTCTCCACTCACTGGTTTTTCTTGTCATACCAACCTCAACCTAAAAGTCTACACTTCCCTACACTACTGAGACTAACGGTTAAGGACTTCATGAACCGATGAACTGATGTTTTAGTGTGATCGTTCCTAACCTTTTTCCAGCCTGGACATAATTCAGTTAACAGTTTGCGACGGTGCAGACGGTGATTAGGCATATATAACACATGCCCCAACAACTGTAGAGCTGTGGTTCATTGGCTTGGGCAGTTCGTTTTCAATCAATGGGTTACAAGTTCGAAAATCACTCCACTAACCGAGGTTCGGGGAGTCAGGTAGTGCCATAAGTCCTCATTAAGTAGGTGTAGTTCATTGCCTGCTGCGCCAATGTGGAACATGTTGCTGAGAGCGTTTTCCACTTATTTAGGTCGATGAAAGTTCACAACTCTACGAGTGCCTTTTATGATACTCATGTAGTGACACCACAACACGACTTACGCTATGGAGGCAACGGTGTTTGAACACTTGAAGCTAAGATGCTGACAAAAAGAAGAGTCTTTAGAAAACCTTGGGTATAAATCTTAGTATATTTGCCATGGACTTTTCAACTGTTGAATAACTGCTCTGAACCAATTCAGTCTAAGAAGAAGGAGTGCATATTGTAGAATGCATTGACTACTTCACTTACCTGGAAAGTCGCATCAGTCCGAATGGGTTGTTCTCTGACGCAATTTTAGTTGGGGTAAAAAAAACCTGTTCAGTATCTGCCAACTTATGCCATCTCTAGCACCAGCGGGATATCTGACTACCTATTAAAAGCCGAGCATATTGCACTGCAGTCCGTTCTGTCCTGTTATACGGCTGTGAGATATGATCGTTAAAGGTGGAAAATATGAAAAGACCACATATGTCTTTGCAGCATTGCTCATATATGGTGGAATCACTGTGTGAACAATGATAAGGTGAGGCGTAGAGTGTTAGGCAAAGGAGCCAAGTTAGTCGGTAATGTTGTAAGCCTTCACAAACTGAGGCAGTCTGGACACGTTGCATGTACCGAGGCACCGCTTATTTCTACGTGAAATGTGATCCTTAGTAGGATTAGGTTGAAAGAAGGCTAAGATTAGTCAGGCTTAGACATGACACCAGTCCATGAAGTCTTTGCTTGTTCGTCTGAGCTATGCAGAGAGGTATAGGTTGGTTGACAGGGTCTTGGAGAGAATAGAAATCAGTGGTTTGAAAATTTTGATGATAGGCTGAAAATTGGTCTTAATGATACAGTTATTCTTCGTTATATTCAACGTCTTTAGTATTCCCATTCATTTCTTCTTCTTGCGCTGTCTCCTAATACACATTGGTCTACCTCAGTCTAACTTTTTCTGTACACTTTCTTCTCATGCTACTGTGTAGTGTGAAAATAAACCAATTCACTTGTGTTCTAGTTTCCACGCTGATCTGTCTATCTGCCTTCTTGCATCACGCTGCACACCTGATTCATGGATTTCAGTAGACGTTAAAGGGAATAAGAGGAAATAATTGTTGTTTATGTAACTCATTGCTAATGTCTGTCACTGCAACTATTGGTGATGCACATTCTAGTCTTTGAACGAGTATTCGTCTACTTGAAGTTGTAAATGTACCTTGCTGACTGGTGTTGTTGAGAATTATATATATAAATATATATATATATATATGTATATATATATATATATATATATATATATATATATATATATATATATATATTCACCAATATTTATATTCTCGATGTATCATTACCGTTTGGATGTTATTTTAAGTATTTACTTTTCTGCTTGTAGTATGAATTCAGTGGTCCAAATGTACGGAAGGAAATCTTACCAAACACTGAAGACGACAAAAATCAACCTTTTAGTTTATGTTTCATTTAACTATGTGTATCACCTATTTCTTTTCATAGTATATTTCTGTGTTATAGTTTGCATGAATGCCCGTGTCCTATTTCTTTCATTAAATTGTATGTCAAAGTATGTATGCGGAAAAGTTGTAAATACATGCGTTTTAACGTTTGTGTGAGTTTATCCTTTATGAGCGTTGCATGTTTATACCTAATCACTAAATTTTATGCTTACTATGCAGTGCTTATTGTTCCTTTATTATTTGTATGGCTATTGAATTGCCCACATTGACATTTTGTTGTAGGTAGTTGACTTTTACACATAATGCCATCGTAAGTGATAACTATTGAATGACTTTACTACGTTTTAATCATTTGAAGTGTAAACGGACGGACAGATAAAATCATCGTAGAACCTGATACAGAAGTGCATCGATTGGAGTTGTCACACTTAAACTGGGAGTAGCTGCAGACCAGTCCTGAGGCATCATCTTACACTTGACAGGTGCGAAATGCTTGTTATGCATACTCAGGTTTCTTCTCAAGGTGTTCAGAATACCTTACATTTTGTCAGTGTCTTCGCGTGCTTATTTCAATCCATATGAATTCGGAGGTAGCTAAGATTATATCCATTAATGCATGTATGATGGAGTCAAACAGGAACGGTGACAGCAGGCATCCCTGGCGGATATCACTAGTTGTCGTCAATTCTCATGACAATACTTCATAAACCTTTACACGGCTGCGAACTAGAATAGAGAGTTTTGATTAACGTTGCATACGTGCTCAGTAACAGTGTATCGGAATATTCGAAGGGCAAAATTACTACCAACCTTCAGAGTGTCTATTACAATGCTCTATTTTCATTTAACTTCGAGGTGATCAATTTCCGTTCGTAATTCACCAGTGATACGAATTAGACGGAGATTCACCTTCCTCTAATGGTTAGATGATTCGAGTCATTTTGCTTGCTTTTTATGAATCTTTTACCTCTGCTTCACTAACCAACTAATTTTTGGAATCTGAGAGTACTTTATAGTTACCGAAAGTGTCAACCCTGTTTACTCTGATTTCTGAAACGTGATGACAGATATCAGAGACAGGAGCCTGGAAAGGTCGAAATTTCATACATTAAAGTTTTTCTTTCTCCAGAGATGGAGTTTTCCTCCGTGATGAAAAGTCACTAAAAATGATTAGTAAAATGAAAAACATTGGATCTCAAAATGTCTAGATGTTCGTCTCACCTTGAATATAATAAATAGAGTACGTGGCAGACAAGTAAATAATAATTGATAGTATCATGTAGTAAACCGTAGTAGCTTATGAAAAGTGCACTAATGAGTAGAAAATAACCGAGAGATCAAACAATACTACATAAAACACAAACCAAATGAAGAAAGCTAGGGGTGGTCCACTGAAATAGTAACGTGATGATGTAGTTGGAAACATGTAGGGCCAGAAAATTGTGTAGATATGAAGACTACTATCTCTTTACAGTTAGCATTGTGAAAGTGAAAGAGAATTCCCAAACCAAGGCGAAACAGCTATCCAGTCCTAGGTTTTCATCAGTTCTTTAGATGATATCCATTCACAATGAAAATCACTTTTAAATCAATAAATCTTTACAAACCAACGGTCGAATACATAAGTGTAACACATTGAATGGTGATTTAAGGTGCTTTCAAGTCGTTTATGTATGGTGAATTTGGGCTTCCTGTATCCAACATGTTACCGTGTAAACTCTATGTGCCGTGACTGATGTTAGTTATCATTATTTTGTTCAAATAAATATTCATAAAATATTACGATAAATGTAGAGATGAATTAAACTACGCTCAAAATTGCTCATTCCACATACTGTTTGAAGGAAATGATCTTGAATATCAGTCACGCCACACAAAGCTGACATGGCAATGTGCCGGATACTGGCAGTCTTGAATTTTGCTGTATCGAAAATTTATTCAACTAGACTGTTTTTAATGATCACTGAACTGAAGATCTGGTATTTGCTAACTTTCCTAAGACTCATTACAGTGTATTTAAATAAGGGATATTGGTTATAAGTGATTTGCCAGTTACTTTCAAGGAACCAGCTTATACTGTTAAGTAAAAGTGGTTACGGAGCGCGGAATCTGTGATACAGATGTTAAATTCCTCCTTGAACACCATTTGTATTTTTATTTATAAAGACGAACAAGTTATTAGCATAATTCAACTGGTTTAATGGGATAGGCGTTATCATAATACTTTGCGTAGCTGAATTCTATAAAACGAGATAAATGAAGCCAAAGATAATTCAGGACTGATAGTTTTGTACAAATAATATACAGAAAGATGAAGATTATGAAGCACTGGGTTTGTACTTCATTACTTCATATATAAATCTTTTGCTGTTTCGCATAATGTACACCGTTGCCATTCATGTTTCTGTTACAGTAGCGACTGTTTTGAGCGTGAGTTCACGTAAAAACGGGGAAACTCCGTTGAGTAACACTAACGAAATTCTGTTCACTAGAAATGCAACGAATGGTCTTCAAAGCAATGTGATTTTGCTGATCGCATGAATTGAAGTGTAATGACCTAATTATATCCAACCGCTTAGTCGAACTATGTGCTACTGTACGAAGTTCAGGGTAAACAGCTTTCCAAATTTTCCTAGCAGAAAATTGTTTTTTGATTTCTTTAAATTCACCAATAAATCGAAATGTGCCGAATTAACCTTCACTAGTCTGACTAAAAAAATAACTAGGATTTGAGAGCAAAGTTTGCTGTTAATCTGTGGTTGTGCGTACGTGTTTTAGCTGTACCACTGCAGTAGCTTAGAGTATGAAGTTACCATACATTCGCTGTTGTTCAAGCTTTCTTCAGAAGTTTAGTTAGACTGAATCGTGTTCAGTTGTGTGTCTATGATAAACCTCACTATTTGGTCTTGATGCAATGTAAGTACCTAACCTTACCTCCGATAAACACGTTACTCAACTATTGGCAAAATATGATACGAATATTTCCACTACGTTTTTTCCCATTTTTACTCAAAGAAGAATGTTTGTTAATTCTTCAGGATGCAATAATTTCAAAGCTGTTACCAGCAATTCCAAGGACATTTAGTGGTCTTACCTTGGCTGGTATGGTACTCGGATTATGTCATCACTTTTATGGTATATATTCACCCCCTTTTGTTCAATATGCTGTATTGTATGGCAAAGTGAAACCGGTGTACTGCGAAGCACTTGAATGTTTGAGAGTTCCTAAAAGGTAAGTTCTCATTTCTTTTTTTACAACATTTACTGAGTAGTACTGCATTTGATAACTGATCTTCAGTTAACCATCTGTATGAATTTTATATTTGACACAAATTAAATCTGCAATTCAGTGGCTTACTGATTCAACTTTCAGCCACTGAGTCACAGATTCAAAGTTAGCTTCAGCTATCCTTGTTTGAAGTAGGTGGTTTTAACATCAATCCTGATAGAAAAAGCGAATAAATTTAGACGTAACTGCTGGATTTGTTGACATAAAAGCATGAGAGTTGTCTCTTAATCATGCATGCTATGAGAGCAAACTAACTGGAATGACTTGATGCACTTGTTTAAATTGGCAGCTGCAAAAATTCGAATGCCTAACATCCAGATGAATTACAGACATTGTTATGCTCATCTAGATACAGTCTACAAATCACTTCCGAACATGTCCTTGAGAAGCGTCAGTCAATCTAGTTGTGAGAAGGTCCTTGATTCAACTCGAGTGGAAATCGAATGACTAGATTAGGATATCTTCCAGCTTGACAGATCAGTCAATCTATTCAAACGAACGAAATTCGGGAAGAAACCAATCAACTGACAACATTGAAGACCATTTTTTCTTTTGAAACCGGTCATTTAACTGTAGTCTAACTCATCAGATCAGGATAAGATTCATCTTTTTCAGTTAAAGTGTTGACCAATCAGATTACTGTAAGCAGTATAAAATGAAGGAAATTAACCCTTAACATAGTTATATCGTATATGAGAAATAGAGATGCAGATTGTTAACCAAGCAGATTCAATATCAGCATCGAACTTACAGTTGGGCAAAGTAAATGAGCAAGTTACTTCATTGTTTCCTTAACGTTTCTTTGATAATGATATCTGATCCGATATTGATAAATGAACAAGTTAACGTAGCATGTTGCATGGAAGTCGATCAGTTAAACGTGCTGCACTTTACAGGAACCTATGTTGGAACTGAAACAGTTGTAGAACAAAACTTCAGCTCATCGGATCACCGCGATGATGAGCCTTCTGGCTTGGTGGTCACTTTGCAAAACGGTCGATTGAATTCGGTCAGGACTGAAAACTAGACAACATGAGAATGGTTGCTCTTCAGTTATCAACCAACGTATGTAATCCAGTCTCCCAGGAAGTCAGTCCCGGGCTGAATAGCTCAGTGGTACCATCGTTGACTGCAACACTGGGTGATGGTGGTTCGAGTCTCACAGTTAACATGAATTTCCTCAGGGTTGCAGATGCACCTTGCTGACGAGTGCCAGCAAGCATGAAACCGAGGTCAAGCAAGATTTCCTGTAGATTGCATCCAACCAACTAACAAAAACCAGTCAATCAGAATGTTTTTCGTATTGAAATGTAGTCCACAGGCCTTTTAATATATTTTGCTAGTATTATCTTGGTGTTAGTGTTAACTTTCAAGTGTTAATTTAAAAATGTATTACCCAACTCTTTACGAACTTCGTAGAGTTTTAACTTTAAAAAGGAAATAACTTTCCCCATTCGATTTTCACTAGTTTCTTAACTGACCAAAGTGCCTAGCGAGTGCCCTCCCTATGCATACCTAATTATTTAAATCCCTTTTTTTTAATTCAGTGCAGGTAATCAATGTTTGAACCTCTCCATTTCGCATTTGTACAGCATGTGTTAATATTCAGACCGTAGAGTAAACTAGTTTTGTGGACATTTTCATCATGAAACGAGATCGACTGAAGAATCTCTGAAAACTGGATAATCACATGCAGTTATTTTGTCCTAGTTTGATCTGTTCTCCTTCATCTGTTTCTATCATTGAAACTGTTTTAATTTCTCAGTGAATAAAGTTAAGTTGAGTCGCAGGGTCGAACAGGATATGTGTCTTCATTATTTCTCAATTTCTTGTGATGAATCATGTCCCCATCTCCCCTTATAACTTGATTGACCTCTGAAGGACTCGACTTTCTCATAGAATTTTGAATATTCTGTCTTGTAAGTTTAGTCACGTGAATTGTGCAGTTGAGGATAGCCATCCCAAATATTTTCGGATTAAATAAATTTCGAAAGTCATGAAATTGAATATTTTTTTGCTTCACTAATGAATAAACTACCCCACCTTCAGTATTTTTGTTCAAAAGGGCAGTTGAATTGAGTTCATTAGTTATTTAATAAGTGCCACTAAAAGATGTTTGAAATGAGCCCAAATAATCATCCACCAATCATTACCTATAGCAAACTGGAAATCTCCACAATGGATTTTCTTTTTCTCATCTATATCCAATTAGTTGACCGCCTAGATTGCAAATAATATTGACGAATTTTTGAAATGACTTCATGAAAGCTGAAGGTTGTTTTAAGTATCTAGTCTAGCTTCTAAGCTTCTGAAATTCTTGGAAGTTGATACGATATTCATTGCCGAGATATATCATGAAAAAGTGAAGTTTTTTTCATGTCACAATTATAATGTAAGTTAATTATACAGATAACTCCTCTGTGTTTCTTGTGACCTTTCTCGACATTCATGAGTTTTCTCTCTCCTGATGTCACATCATAGGTCGATCTTGTTTACCAAATGAAGAGATTACATCTCATTTCATTGATTGTCATAGGTTAGATACAGCATGTCAATAATGTATTCAATCCATGGAAAATAATTACACCCAACATGTAATGCCTTAATGCATCTTGTTTGTTGTATTTCAGTAGACGAGTGATCTCAAATCTGTAGGAGAGACATAAGATTGTGGACAACTTTGGGTCCATTGAAAAAGCTCAGCTACTCGAAAATCAGAAATACTGTGCTATCCATGCGTACCAACAAGTTTTGTTAAACATCTTAGAGATACTTTTGACCACTGCCGGTATTCAGCATGTTGTTATGTAAGCTAAGTATGGTACTCTGGATTAAAAATATTACCATAAATGAAGAGATTGATCAAAATTACGCTCGAAACTACTCATGTCACACACTGATCACTAACGTCAGTTATGCTACATAGAGCTTATATGACAATATACCGGATACCGGTTCTCATTTTTCAAAATAGTCAATTTTTTGTCAGTGTACTGACTTCATATCGATATACTGGAGTAAATTCAATGTAAAGATGCAATTTATTCACGTCACATGAATTGAATTAACTTACTCGAACTGTTATTTTTTAAAAGTTGGTATTCATCATGGACTGATATCACTCGGAGGAGTATCGGAAACCTGGTAGCACTGAACAGCTGTTTCGTCCTAGTATGGGACTGCTCAGCAGTACGCACCCATGACCTCGTCCGCTAGGGATCGAACTCAAGACCATCAGGTTCCGTGACCAGCACGTTACCATTGAGTCACTGGGTCAGAATCCAGTGGTCCATATTTCCAACTCCTGTCAGTTCAGGACATAGCGCGGCTATCACCCAATGTCTTAGTTAAATATTTTTCCTCATGTTCTTCAGGTTTGCTCCACCAGTCACGGTTTCTTATTGGGAACTTCAGGAATCAACTCTTGAAGCTAGTCACCAATGAGCACTAGATAAATTGAACTTGGGGGTTTGCAGGGATTTAGTGACAAAAAATTTTTTTCTAAGTTGGTATTCATCATGGGCTGACAACAGTAGGGGGAACCTGGGAGCACTGGAATTCCTGGCGGGGTCATAGGTGCTCATTGCTGAGGAGTTCCACACTCGGACAAAACAGGTGTCCAGTGCTCCCAGATTTCCAATTTTCCTCCAACTGATGTCAGTCAGTCCATGATGAATACCAACTTGAAAAAATATCACTGAATCCCCACAAACCCCCAAAATGAATTAACTCGAATTAACTGGTATATTATAAAATTCGATGGATAATTTTTAAACTGCTTGCTGGTTTCTTTGGTTTACACTGACAGTATTAAAAAGATGATCATTTTCTCAATCGCTTAGTTTAAAATCAGTAAGTGAATGTTTATGGGAACTGAGTAATTTCGAAATAGTTTTCGTCTCGCATAGAAATCAATTGGAGAAGTATTACAAGCTGTTCTGTCCTACTTCAGGACTCTTAAGCCGCGTACACCCATGTCCCAATTAGGTATGAAGCATGGAACCATGTTCACTGTTGAGTTGCTTCAAGTTGGATCTCCTGAAGTTCTAATGAGAATCTCTGACCTACAGGATCAACCAAGTTGTCTATGAGGACAAATAAACAATGGTGGCCACGCTTTATTTCTAACTGACAGAGGTAGAAAAGTGTGAAGCGTTGGATTACAAGCCAGTCGTTCCTTGGTAATGTGCTAGCCATAAGACCTGGTAATTGTGACCTCAATCCATCATCCGTTCATGGCTGAAGAGTCACAAACGAGGATAAAACAGCTACTCATTGCTCTTGAGTTTTCAGTGCTACCACAACTGGAATCAATGGTTGATAAGAAACTACTTATGTGTACAGTTTAAGTATTCAGCAACGAATTTCGCAACACGTGTCAGTCACAGTCTAAAACCTAAGAATTCTACTGGGTAGTTTCTGTTGGAAACCTTATTGGCACTTTTTGATCTCAATGTGCTCTATTAATTCATTGTACATCACTTAAAATTTCATATTGATTTCATTTTCAGATGGTTTAAATACTTCTACTTAACTGGGGTGTTGTTTACTTGTTGTACTTTATTAGTTGAACTTTTCTTTATACGTAAGTCAACTAAGTCTACTTTTTTTGCAACTTTATTTATTTTTTTTTTCAGCTTTTTATTTTCTGAATAGCTCATCTTATTATAAGTTTCATAAACTTATACATAAACTCATACGTATACTTATACATAAATTAAATCACTGAATAAGTTGTCAGTATAGATTGCGTAACATGTATGCGTTTGTATTGTATCATTGTTACTTTGGTGTTTTCGACTACAGAAGCCGTTTCACAATCCACAAAGGGTTGTGTTTTATTGAAAGATTTATTACCTGATGATATAAATAACGCAAACCTGGTTGCTACTCATATTAGTTGAAGTCGAAATCCACTCAGCAACCTTGTGCAATTCCATGCAGTAAGCTACATACTACCTTGAAAACAGAATCCTTATACACTTGAAACCGCATTACCGTGTAAGTGCTCATTAGTGACATACTATGAGATCGATATCCCGAAGTTCTAATGTGTAACCATTATCTGTGGGGTTAACAAATTGGAAGTGAAGCGGATGCCAGATGGAAGATCTTGGTGGATAGTCGTGCTGCATCATGAATTGACAGTAGTTGGGAATCGGGGTTGAATGGTTAACGCATTGGTTGGAAATCCTGAAGGCCCTCAGTTTGATCCTTGGAAGGGGAGATCGTGGGTGCGTACTACTGATGAGTCTCATACTATGACGAAACAGCTGTCCAGTGCTCTCAGATTTTCAATGGTTCTCCAAGTAATGTCAGTTCGTGATGAATACTACCTTAAAAATAAGATCCCAACAAACTTGAAACTACATTTCTGTATACTTTAGTCTGTACTTATAGATGATTAGTATTTATATTAATCAAAGTTGAAATCCACTCAACAGCCTTGTGCATATCCATGCAGTAGGCAGTGGAATAATGATACTTCCTGGCCACCCAAACCTTGATGGTCGGAGCGGGGTTTGGACCCACGACCTATCGGTTGGGAATCAAGTGCCCATGTACCAACGAGTCCAAGCCCCTACTTACATTAAAAAGCTTAACATCTGGAAACCTTAGTGTGTTCTGCTAATAGAAGCCTATAAGTATTACAAGTAACTACGTTAGTGTTGTGTTGCATCAATCATCTTTTAAAAAATACTTCCAATTAAACAGTTTCTATGATTGGGGAAGTACTTCTTGCCTTATTTGAGCCAGTATAGACTCAAAATCCAATAAGTATCATCACAAAGTAACTAGGACTCTTTACTCTTCACATCACAATATAGTAACGCTTAGAAGAAATGGTTGCATTCTTTTCAGAATTGCATAGCTATGTGCATTGGCCGAAACGTTGTTGAACAAAAAGAAATACTGATACCAGCACTTTTTTAGTTCTTTCAATAAATATTATGCTTTTTGAACCTTAGCGAAGTTACCATTATTAGTGTATTTACAGTTGTCGAATATCTTGGTTAGGAAAAGTGAATGTAGAGTCCACCCGTTTTTGCCAAAATGCTCCCATCTCTTGTAATTTGATAGTCTCTACGAACAAAACCTTATTTAGCCTTTTAAGTGGAATTGTTTTCATAAGAGTGAAGTGCAAAAGCAATTTACACACATTGAAAATCGAAAAATGAATATGAAGAGCTAATGTGAAAAGTCAGAGAACTCTTATTCCAAACCAGCGGTGCACATGCGACCTGGTATCTCAAAGGAGTGAATAACTTTGTGGTTACTGGATACTACTGATATCTAATTTTAAATGTTACCCTACGGCCTAGCTGGAGAATAGGGATGAAGAACGTGAGTCTCATAAACATTGGATGTCTATGAACTCCTTTTGGCTCTTTAATGGTTGTTGACTCATTCCACCTCACATTGCGAGATTACTGTTGCGGAAAATTACTACAAGTCATCTTAGACATCATAACTTATGCCAGTGATGTTTATGAGTTTGCTAAATATAAATTTTCATGACTACCTTAACACTGAATAGCCGATTCAGAAAGTATCACAGTCAGCCTAATACATCAGCATTTCAAATCTCTTTCACTTGTACTCTATAGTAAGTCAGCACCAATGAGTATAGTAAGCTAGCATCAAAATGGGACCTGGCATTATTGCGTAACGGTCAAAGTTGTTTCATCTCCACCACAATAAGGTAGAAACTACGATTAAAATGAAGATTTGCAAATACATTTATGGTACTGCAATCGATTCTGAGTTATATCGATCACAGTTTGCAACCATAGATTTCGGTTGTCACAGGACTGCTGATTTTGAAGTCTACGTTTTCGTACACAGATCAGATAAACAGCTGAAGACTACCTGGACTGATGCCATGTTTTAGTCTGGCCGCCTTTATCTTTTTTCAGCCTTAACTTATTTCAGCTAACATTTCGCTACGGAACAGATGGTGAACAGACATGCGTATCACACATCCCAGTCATTTGAGTCAATGGAGTTTCACAACCTTATCAACTGACTTAACTTTTCCCCCTAAAACTGTCATCATTCTTCGTAGACCGTATAAAACGCTTGGAGCACTGTTTTGAGAAGATAAAACCGCGTTTCGTTCAGATTATGGATTAGGGCATAGTTTAATGTTTATCACCATATTGTGAATCTCGTAGATACGTTCGGTAAAATAAGCGCAATAATATACCTTTCTTCTCTATTCAGAACCATTGGTAGTGTTGTACGGGATTATGTAATCGTTATATTTATTATCACAAGAGTTACATGGATACTCTTTGAGGGAAGTTTTTGTACTGTGACTTTACCACCGGATAAAGAATTTGATTACGACTTTATATGAGATGACATGCTTACTGCCAAGATTGCAGGTTACTAGTTGGCGGTTAGCATGTAGGCAGTTCGTGCTTTACACTATCTAATCACACAGTGATTTTTGAATACTAGTCGAAGCCCGTTTTTGCACGCACCATTGATGGTAAAGCTTTAGAAGTAGTCTGAATGTTCTTGTATCTGGATAGTTGTGTTTATCAGTTGTGGTGCGACAGACGGGATTAGTCTTCATTGAAACAGTATAAGTATTCCTGGTATTCTGTGTCCATACTTTGTAAGTAATGTTAAGGTTTGCTTTATGTTAAGGTATGTTAGAAATTGCTATTTATAGTTACAATTGTCTCATAACACTGGCTTCGATAACCTAGTTGGATTTTTAACATACCATCACATTTGCTTCGCTACAAGTTGTTGACGCTAAGCAGATGTGATAGATACCTGGGGCAGCTCCGATTAATGAGGATAGTTGTGTAGCATAAAATGTTAAGTGAGATTATGGAGATTTTTTCTGCTCTCTGGTTTATGAATATGTCAGAAATGGCTGATTATTTTAGTGTAGTTTCATTTTGTCTTCTACGTAAACAATTAAATTAAAACTAATGTAAAGAAATTCTACTGCCTTTATGTTTTACCCACACTCTCTTCTTTACTTCTCTCACTATCTATTTTTACCAGCCGTGTTATTGATACTGGCTGATGATTGAAGGTGAGATGAAAATCTGGACCACTGCCGGATTCGTACCAGCGACCACCAGGTTTCCGGCCCGATGCTCTAACAACTGAGCCATGAGGTCCGACTGCTGACCAGATTTTTATTTCACCCCAATCACCAAAGGTTTTTACCGACTACCAAGTGAACTTGTGACGTGTTACCAACGCTTGATCGTATTCACAGTGGCTACCTAGTCCGGACTTCTCATTCCAATCCAAATCTAACTGAATAAGAGAGGGTATGCATCATATTGATTATCATTTTGACCATCTGAGATAGCTGTGGTTTGCCAGACTTTTATTGATACTAGGTGATGACTGAAGGTGAAATGATGTTGAAGGAACATTGTATTTCATTGTTTTCAAGTCATTTTCCATGTTCATTATCTGAACTAGTTCATCTACGTAAAAGTGAAAATCCATCACTGGAGGTATGGCTCATTGGTACGGTATAGAGAGATGACTTTCAAGTAATGGGTCACAGGGTTTGAGCCCTGCTCCACCTATCGAAGTTTGAACACAGCAGGTGTGGCTCACTGTCTACTGTACACATGTGTGCACGTGGTTTCTGATTACATTTCAATTCCATCATTGACTTTGGTGAATAAAAAGTTTCAAATAAGTAGTAGTATAGACCTGTAGATAAATGAGTAAATTTCCACCAGTTAAGGTGAATAACGCTGATTTTCTGTATACCATAAAGTCTATTTTTGAAAAACACAGTTACCCAAAACAAACACTCCATCTAAGGGACCGCATGGTTATCAGAAGTCTGTTGTGTAATCTGTTTAAAATTCTGTAAAATACGAGCTTCTGAGTCATAATGTGAAAAAAAATTACCAATATTAACATGTTTTAGTATAATGGATGAGATTTATGAATGATTTTATTTTTATGCAATCGTCAATTTATTTGAACTTTCAAAGTAGTGCACGTCTATTTCATATTACCAGTTATGCAAATAAGCTAAGATGTTATTTTTGTAACAATTTTTGGTAGAATAAGTTAAGCGTCAGTTTGCTTATTTAGAGTTGTGTCTATTTAAAACAAATGAATACAAGGAAAGTTTAAGATTTCGCAAGAATCACTGCTACTATATGACGTATAAGAATTTTTTGTCATGATATAGTCGACAGTGTAGTGTACTTGAAGTACTGTTAAATAGCGACAGCTAAGTATAAGTATGAGCTATGAGGTCAGTCGATAAATATATATTCCAAAGGAGTTTCCATCAGTGATCGATATCAGCCAGAGAACGATTAGAAACCCAAGAGCATCGGACAACTGCTTCGTCCTGTTTTTGAATTCAACAGTGAGCATGCATCACTCCCTGAGGGATCGTAATCGAAACCACCATACTTCACGACGAGAACTATATCATTTAATCACCGGGTGTGAATTCAAGTTCTATCAATTCTCTGCTTAGTGCTTTCATCGTCTAACTACATCGGTTAATATTTATCCTCACAGCTGCCGTAGTGGACTGCACAGGTCACAGTTTCTCGCTAGTAATTTAGGAAGTTCATCTCGAAGCAAGTCACTAGTGAGCATCGGATTCTTACTCACTTTGGTAGTTCATGGGAAAGCGATCGATTTCAAACATTTTTTTGCTGGATAGACTTTAGAAGTTGGAAACGTAAGTCATTGAATTGAAATCTAGTGACTGAGTGGAAATGTCCTCATTGCAAGAATTAGTGGTCATCAGTTGGATCCTGAAAAAGAAATTGGAAAACACTCAACAAGTATGTTCATGTTTTTGCCTTAGACACTAAGCCACATATATTGTGTGATGACTAATAATATTACTTTGCTGCATAAGACTCGGTAGACGGAGTCGGGTTTGAACTCGTGACGTGTTACCAACGCTTGATCGTATTCACAGTGGCTACCTAGTCCGGACTTCTCATTCCAATCCAAATCTAACTGAATAAGAGAGGGTATGCATCATATTGATTATCATTTTGACCATCTGAGATAGCTGTGGTTTGCCAGACTTTTATTGATACTAGGAAGTCGATTTTTTAGACCAATGAGCAACAGCTCCATGTGAGTTTCATCCAATGTGAAGTAGTGGGTATGCACTGGTAAGAAGTCGCAAACTAAGGCAAAACAGCTGTTCAATGCTTCTTAGGTTTTCAATAGTTCTCTGGTTGGTGTCAATCTATGATGAAAAGCTCTTTGAAATCAACCGATTCTACATAAACCTATAGACAGAATAAAATGTAGTGATCTAGAAGGCGAAGGAAACACTTTTTTTAAAAGTAGTAGTCTAGTGAACACAAAATTGGTGGTTGCCTTTTTTGCAAGTGTAAGTAAGTTATCAAGTAAACGACCCAAACTTTCAAGTGTTATCTGATATCAGTGCAATAACAATGGCTACAAGATGTTTTATACAGGTTTATTGTTACTTTTTAAGACCATTTATGTTTGTTTAATTTAGAAAAAAAAGACTCACAATTTTCTATCATTTCATGTATTATTTTTTTTCTTCTAATTTCAGCAACTCATAAAACTATCACTTGTGTGTTGACTCTGTATCTGATACACGTTTCACGCCGATTGTATGAATGTGTACATGTTTCTATATTCAGTGATTCTTTAATGAGTTTTGTTCATTTTCTAATTGGGATTTTATTTTACATAGCTTCTCCTATTGCAATTTCGATTTCACGAAGTAATGCAGGTAATTTAAAACCTTTTTTATTTTTTATCATCAGCATCATTTTCGTGTGTTTTATATCATCGTTGGATAATTCACTTAGTTTTTAACAAAATGAATCGCAAGATCCTGATTTTATGAGCTTTCATATTGTTCATGGATGGTTGATCAACAGGCTGGGTGATATTATTGAAAGTCTTGGATACTGCTAATTAGGGACGCATAATCTAGTTACTGGGTGAACAATACAGTACTTGACAACTCGTTCAGCTATAACACAAAAATAAGACAATGTGAGACGGAACAGAGTTTATTATGATCTGTAATTATGAATCTAGGGACACAACTCTTGCGTTTGTATACAATGTGAGCATTCTTGGGGGTATTAATGGTGAAGGTTTAACCAATGGGGAAATAGGTTTCTGAAAGGCGGTAAAATTGAGCGATACACGTGGGACGGAAAAAAAGCGCCAAAACGATAGTTAAAATTTTTCTTGAGGTAAGTTCATACAAATTAGGCAATAAAACATTCATTTTTGGGGACATAACAGACATACTCAACACTAGCTGTTTTATGTGTTATCAAGTCTATCGGTAAAATATTCACGACAAAATATCAGAATGCATAAAATCATTGTTATCCTGAGCTACAACTTTTCTTTGTCATTTCGAATAGCAAGACTAAGAACTTTAGCTATTGTTGGGTAAAGTAAAACAGTCAGTTGGGATTAAACATCCAAAATGTTTTAATTTATTATGACAATCACAAGGGGATAGTTAAGTCATATCATACATGGGATGTCTTTTCAAATTCTAGATTTCGGAGTTGTGGCTCATTGGTTTAGGGAGTTTACTTTTCAATCACCCTCCATCTACTGAGCAACCTCGTACTAGTATCATTAGCCGTTACACAATAGGTGTGGCTGATCGCCTACTGCGCCAACAGTGTAGAAGGGAAGTTTGATGGGGAGTTTTGTGAATCACGCTTAGCACAAATGAAAAACATGTTCACAGTAGTATTAATGGATAGTGACTAGCAGTGAAATCCGGGATGCGCGTCTCGTCCTATTTGAAACTCGTTAGCTGGATGTACATCCAGCTAACGAACGATACCTGCCTCCCAGTGAATGATGCTGTCTACACTGGGACTCGCACTCGGGACTGATCGCTTCAAACACTATAGCGTTATCTAATCGACCACTGAGCCACGATGTTCACAGTAGTTTTTGCAACTGTTTACTGCAATATTTCATGAATAAAAATCTATTTAATTATTTTTGTTACGACTGTCTTATAATCAGTTATTGTTCTATAGTGAGTTTTCACACCTTACCCTCCTAATGTTTTCCTGTAAATTATTCATTCAATTATCTTTCAGTTGAACGATCGAATTGGGTCATTGTATTATTCAGTCTGCATATATTAGTACTTCAATATCTACAAGATTTGGTTTTTCAACAGTTGGCTTCTTTACGCAAACAAAAAGATAAAAGCACAGGTAATATCTACTATATTACTGCTGGCATGTAAATTCATTCAACTGTAAAATTTAGTATATTTTTCCTCTTAACTTTCATGGTCGATTGAACTCTATTGTTAACGGTAAGAGTTAGGCAACAGTAAATTAATTCCTATTCAAGGAGTGGTTCGCGTAAAAGGTGATTTGTAGTCCAAGCTTATCTCTGAGCGAATTTTCAGGTTTAAATGGCACCTCAATTGATTCCAGCCTTGTTGAGGATCCTACGTAAAGTTTGTGATGTTCCTAGACTAGATGGTAACATAGTGGAGTCTGTGAACTCCTTTCTACTCGTGTTGTCGTTATTATTCGTACTTGTGTTACTGATATCATTTTGTTTCCTATGTTTTCCAACGAACTTCTTTATAAATTGTAGGGGATAATTATTAACGCTTCTCTTATGTTTCAATTCCTTGTTTAGGTCCTTATACTGACTAGTCAGTTTTCTAGCTCTGTCATTTAGACATTAGACTAAACCCGCCTTACCTGACTGACACTGGGTGAGATGACCTGAATGTGTCGGTTCCCTGTAGACTGTAGTATCCGAAACACCGATGTCTGTCCTTCGTTTTAGCCTGCAATCCAGCATAGGTGATTCTCCTCTGTTCATTTTTTACCTCCTTGTAAGTGTGAATTGGATTGCGCCTACTACTGAGTTAATATTATGTGTGAGGAATCTGTCGCATGTGTTTCTATTTCAACACAGTAGTGAACATGTCATCCACATATCGCCACCATATCTTACGTGCAGGATTATACGTTCGTAACGCCATGTTTTTCCAACTATGCATAAATATATCTGCTACGATTGGAGATATTGGTGATCCCATCGATACACCTACTCCTGTTTGCTTGTAGATTTTATCCTGAAACTTGAAGACTGTGGAGGTCAGGCATAATTGTAGGCTTAGTATGATTTCATTAACCGATATCTTAGTTCTATGAGTAAGTTTTAAGTTAGTACTGAATTGATTTCTGACTGTCTTCAGTGGCATATTGATTGGTATTTTAGTATAAAAACTTCTTGCATCGAAAATAACCACTATTCCATTCTCTTCTATATGTCAGTCATTAAGTGTTTGCTTTAACTCGTAAGAATTGACTAGTCTAGTCCAAGTGATTATAAACTGTGACATTAGGTGATAGTATTTTGATTTCCTTGCAACAAAGAGCTCTAGGAACGAACCAACCAAGAACCTATCACCCAGCAAATATGCAGAAGGAAGTGGAGATGGATTGGGCATACACTGAGAAGGCCGACTGGGGACATCACACGTCAGTCCCTCCAGTGAAATCCCCATGGGAAGCGAGGAGTTGGACGTCCGAGGGTGACATGGAGGAGATCGTGCTAGGAGGAAATGAGAGGTTGTGGGCTGTCGTGGAGCCAGGTTCAAAAGATTTCAGAGAACAGAGTGGAATGGAGACGTGCTACTGAAGCCCTATGTTCCATTAGGAACCCAAGGGATTAATAATAATAATAATAATAAATAATTTTAATTTCCGTATGGTGATAAGCACGAAACTTAGGTTCATCAATTTGCTTTGGTTGTCATAAGGTGTTCAACATTCTTTCAGTGTATTTTCTTAACCGGTCGGATTATGTAACCCAATTGTTTGTTTTCAGATTATATTAGCAATTTTGTATGTACAGTTCAACTGGCCCTCAACAACGTTTCACTTACCCAACATCCATCCTGAACCTAAATGGGACGTGGATGTCGGTCCTCCAACTCTCCTTGAAGTTGAGAAAGGTGTATCGAACCTGAAACTATACAAAGCAGCAGGACCTGACAGTTTGCCACCTGAAGTTTTCAAGGATGGAGGTAGAAAATTGTTGCTTAAAGTGACGAAATCAATAGGTGCTTTCTGGTAATCAGCGGTAATGCTGTCAGACTGGCGTACTTCACTGATCATCCTAGTCTATAAGAAAGGGAGAGAAATCTTCTTATAACAACCGTAAAGGGGATCAGTTTGACTGACATCGTTTCCAACACTATTGAGTCCATAGTTCTCCGATGCCTTACTGGAGCTCGAGAAAACTAGTCAGGTTTCAGACCTGTTCGTGGGCGCATCGATCATATTTCCACCCTCCGACGGGTTCCGAAACACAAGCATGCTTACCGGCAAGTGGGCGATACTTAACATATTTGTTGGCCTGAAGGCGGCATTCGACTCTGTTGACCGTGATGTGTTGTGGCAGTGTCTGAGTATGCAGAGAGTACCGAGAATATATGTGGTGTTTATCAAAGCTCTCTACTCGAACTCATGCAGGCATGTAAGGGCTTCTGGAGAGTTGTCATGTGAATTGATGACAACTGGTGGTGTTCTCCATGGATGCCAACTATGATTGTTCCTAGTTAGTTTCGTTATAGATATGCTAATGGACGTAACTTTAGGTACATCTGACTTCACAGGGATTGACGTTACACCCAGCAGGTCATCTGGTTGACTTGGAGTATCCAGACGATACTGTTCTGGTAGGCGAGGACGCTGACAAAATGCATGGTATTTTGAATGCGTTGATCAGAAATCTGAATATGTTCGTCATGCGTTTTGCTGTCACCTGTGAAATGTAAGGTGATGCTCCAGGACTGTTCTGCTGCAAGTTCTCCCAGTTTAAATGTAAGAAGTGAAGTGATGGAATTTGTCGACGACTTCACTTACTTGGAGAGTCGCATCAGCTGGTTGCTGACGGAATCTCAGCTTGAGTAGAGAAGACTCATTTAGTGTTTGCCAACTTTTTTCATCTGTGGCACCCGTTGGAGGGATATTTAAAAGCGAATATTTTTTTGAACTCCGTTCCGTATATTGATTGGTTACAGGAGAACAATCGATTTCACGTTGTCTAGTCCTGAGTGCAGACCGAATTCTATCGATGATTTTTGCAATGTGGCCAACAAGCTTGGAGGTTTAGCTTCGCGGTGCACATTGATATATGTGTTATGCGACTGTGAGACATGGCCGTTAAAAGTAGGAGATATAGAGCGGTTACAATTTTTATATCACCCCAGGTGTCTTCGTAACATTGCTGGTGTATGAAGGGATCTTTGCATGAACAATATTGATGTCAAGCAATAGTTACTAGGCATAGCAGGAAAGGCATCAATGTGGTTGTGATCTTCATCGACTAAGGTGGCTCAGATATATGTTGCACATTCAAAACCACCACCTATCTGTATATACAATGTTAAAAGAAGTTGGATTAGGTTGGAAAAAATCTCATGGTGGGCAATACACGATGCCTTTGATTGTTAGTCTGGGGAGTCTCAGGAGGTGGTCTATTAGGATTCTCGAAACCATAGAAATCAGTGGTTAATGACTCTTGATGAAATAGCTGAAAATCGGTCAGAATGGCGCAGGTGTATTTACTCTTTGATGCCTTCCAGAGCTTGAATATTTTCACTAACCTTTATCTTGATATTGTTTCGGGTTACATACATTTTTATCTACTTTGATATCACCATTTTTCTATCCACTTGTATGATACTTTGAAGTATGAATCGACGTATTTGTGTGCGTGGTGAGGTGATGCACTGGTTTTGTCTGCCTGCCTCTGATTTCATTCAACAAAAATAAGTTTTATTTCGATATATTATATTTGATTAAGTTAAATATTTTAATAGGAATCGATTGCCCAACTGAGTGAAGCTAGTTTTCTTTCTCAAGGTCTAGGATTATTTGAATAATTACTGGTTTAATATTTAAGCAGTGTGAAACAGTTGTTCTATGACTAGTTTATCTAACCACTCAACTTTCAACCAAGTGATTCATAGGTTCGAATATTCTCGAGGTTTGGTTAATCAAGAATGATGGTTAATCTTCACGCAATAAGTGTGGCTCATTGCCTAATGCAGAAATATGCACACACACACACACAGAGTTACCGAATATATTTCGGTTTTAAAACATTTTAAGATTACTCTGACTCTCCATCGGGATTTCATTGAAAAACAATTTGTAATCTTCCTTATCATCGTTTGCTTAATATATGATTTTTTCTTAACTTCATTGCTTTCAGACAAAATAGCTGATAAAAAGTATTATCCACCTGAAGGGAGTATGTTTCATTGGGTATCATGTCCTCATTATGTGTTGGAAATATCGCTTTATCTGTCATGGCATTTGTTTATTACACCAAAATGGATATCATTTTCTCATATGTTACTTTTTACAATATTTAACCAACTATTTTGTATATGGGCTAGTCATGATTGGTATCAGAAGAATTTCCCTGAATGGACATCAAAACGTGCCATGCTGATTCCATATTTATGGTGAATTCCAGGTGTTCTCTGAAGATAAATGAGTGATTTTTAATTTGCCTGCTGGACTTTCAGTTATTCATTCAGTTATTCAAATTATTGCATAACACCACTAATTTAGTTGTAGATCAGCTTCAGTTGCTGATTATAATAATATGTATTAATTCTCAAAAATTGTTTTGTTTTAATATCTGAAGTTTTTCCGTTCTCAAGAGTTCTCAAGACGTTCCCTAAAATAGTAATGATGACATCGTTCCTACTAACTGTTCTCATTGTAAAACACAACTGCTGTATGTATGTATTCAAACAGCATCTTTAAACAAAAATCTAGGACAACCAATTAGTAAATTTTATTTAGTTGCTTGAACCGTAAAGTTGGTTTACGATATACAGTTGGTTCAATTGTCCTTACACATATCAAAAACTTGTTCCGTAGATAAATGGATTCCGATGGGTTTTGTGAAAACCGACTTATCAAACATTTGTGTGATAAGCGTGAACAGAAATGCATGACAATGTAACGTGATGCATAAGGTCAACGGCATACGTTAGGCACTCAAAATTCTTCATGTAGTGACACACGAAATTGAAGAACTTTTAGGAACGCAGATATTATAATTATTATCAATTATAGATTTGCTACAACGTGGGCAGCAAGAGGTTGTACCATGCAAGTTAACGAAGCAACATTATCAAGACGCGGTAATGCAGAATAGAATGAAAATGAAAATAGAAAAAGACTGTTTCAAAGATACATCTGAAGATGTATCCACCACTTTTGTTTTACTTTCCAGTTGTAGAAGAAAAAAGAAAGCTGCAGCATGCTCACTACTGTTTCCGATTCTCAGCCGTCTTTTATTGTCTACAACACTGAGTTACCTGGTCTCTCGAACCCTATCCGGAGAGTTATGAGACACCTACAGTTATTAATTCGACACAGCTATCCTTTCCACGGTCCTACTTTATGTCTTGTTCACCTCACCTCTTAACTCCTAATCACTGTCAGGGCAAGCGAACAATGGGCCATGTGGGAATCGCAGAACAACATGTCCAAGCTATGGAAACCGATGTTGTAGGATGACCACACTCAATGAATGACAATTTCTATCACGCCTTAGCATGACTCAGCAGTTACCTGCATAACGTCATTCTACACATTCAGCAGTAACCGAATACAGTGGTCGGACACCACCAACTCGAAGTTTCGTTTTCATAGGAATGGCATCATACTGCCCAGTCCTACACATCGTGTACCCAATCTTTTACAGGCACAGCAATGTCACGATACCGCTAAGGGTGACCCAGGTTGGTGTATGCCATTCTAGCTTTCGATATACAGTTGAAGATCTCATCAGTCACACCTCTACTAGGACCCAAACGACTACCTATGTACACATACTACTTCACACGTGGTATGAATGAGTTTAAATACAGGCGTACGTAAATGGCTTCCTCAACAGAAAGCTTCATATTATCTGTCAGCCATTGTACATGGACATCTGAAGTGTGCTCATCAGTCGTGTGCACTTTTGTGCAGTACTTAATGAGCCATATATATATCGTGGGAGGACTAATGGTACTACCTGACTACCCAAACTTCTATAGGTATAGCGGGTCTCGAAAGTGTGACTCACTGGTTAAGAGTCATCCTAGACCAATGAACCACAGCTTCTTGGATATTTGAGAGTAGGTCGTAATGGTTTCGAAGATGCATGCTCGTGAATGAAACTGAGACATGAGCTAGAAGTGAGATCCCGTGAGTAGGTTTGCACATACTTCGTTTAGAATGGGCAGACCTTTTCCCAAAGGTAGCTATTAGTTTTCCGCTAGTTACTTGTAGATGACATCTTTTTCGTGGTTGCAGGAATAGCGCTTACTTCTGCGTTAGTATTGACGATACGACTAACTTTCGTTTTTACGTCTGTGGTGTATCACAAACAATTGTTTCCTCCCATTGCGACTGCCGGTGGGGTTGTTTCCTTATTTCATGCAGTCTATGTTGGAATTGCACAGTTTCCGACAATTTCATAGTTCCTCCTCCATAGGTCTTGGGGAACCTTCAAATTCTTATGTCGATAGCTTTATCCATGAACATCTTAGAATAGTTCGCCTTTTAGAACCTTCCTCTTTGTAAGTCCTTAAGTAATTGGTTTTCATCCGTTTTATCTCCCAATTTATAATTCACTCTATTTTCTAATAGTTAGGTGTAGTTCATATGCACTACCAAGCAAATGGCTGTTTTTCTTTAAAATCTAACACTCTAATAAGCTTTGGTCTGATGGACTTTCGTAATCTATTCTTACCAACTCCTTAGTTAACTTTCCACAAATAAATTTGTATAAAATTCGCCCAATGTGCTTTGACTCAACAAAAATCGTACTGCTTCACAAGATCAGATCTTCCTAACTTCTTGAAATTGAACACAAGAAGAATAAATGCAAATTGTCATTTACAGATTTCGGGTGTCTCAGTTGTTCATCCTTATTCTGAAGACCCTGATTTTTCAAAGATAGCGCTTTAACTATGACCTCGCAGTATGCACTTGAAATGTAGCTCATTGTACATTTTTTCCTTTGGGAATGCTAACTTCCTCCATCTCCACTGACTAATGCTGTAACAAACAAGACACAGAACTGTTTGGCGGTTGGTTGCTTTGACTCGAGACATTCTTTTATGTTAGCGTTCGACATAAAGCTGCTTTAAAGTCTTGTATAAATCTATTAAATACATTTCTCGCTAGGTAGATTTCTGTCTTGTTTATGAGACACTGCAGAATATTTTCCCTGATCAGTTTTCAGGACTTAGCCAACTTATTTCTGTGAACATGCCAGTAACTGAAACGATGTAAGAAGCTGAGTTTTCTCCTTGCGCATACAAACATTTCGCATTCGCTTTAGTGCTGGTGATGGTTAGCAAGACAGGGATGCCAGACCTAAACAAAGAGTGCTTCCTATCAACACGAACTGTTGGATAGTTGCGGTTTAATAAAAAAAATTTGGTAAGGCACCAGCTGATTTACTCCTGCATCGGTTTCAGCCACCAACTAAATCACTCACTACTCTGGAGCCAAGCCTCAGAAAACTCTGGTATTTTGAGGATGACATAATCTGAGACTATCAGTTAATCTAGTAAAGGATCAAGGATTATGGTAATTACGTTAAGTCTGAATACTGCATTGTGGTTTTGTCCACCCTGTGTCGAGTGGAAAGACCGGAAGAACCTAATATTTGGCTCATAGAAAAGCATATGTTTTAAAAGTCTTTTTTTTACTATAAAAGCTGGAGTGCCGACAATATTTGTTGAATTCTGAAGCAGACTTCATTACCCAGTATTTGATTTCGCTAGAGGTGCCTTGTAAAGAGAATAGTTGCTGTACTTGGTAACAATTGGTAATTATTTTGGAAAATTTTGGTGCACATTTGGGGATTAAAAGCATCGAATTTCTATGTGTAGATATCTTCATTACTGAAAGCAAGCGATTGCAGAGATCTTCAACCTAGAATTGAAGACTTCATGAATTGCAGGAAGCAAATTTAACAAATTCCAGGGAAACAGAGGTATATGAATGTGCTTTAGGACGTCATATCAGAGCATTATCCTTAACAGCTAACAATCAAAGTTCAGGGAGGATTCAAACAAATTTGACAGACACTTCGAACGGACGAGTGCAAGTGGGGGGAATCTCTATCGCGGAAACGAAAGATAATATCAGTGTCTGATAAAACTGCATCAAAAACCGAAATATAAAAGCGCGTAAAGATCTTATGCATAGCTTGAAAACTGCACAGTGGTCTAACGCCATGGATTTTGAAAACTACATGGAATGGCGCTGTATCATTGAACACACTAGTATGTTTTAAATTCCCACCACATCATCCGAATAAAACTGTTGCATCATGTGCCGGTGAAAATTTGTCTTCAAGAGCAGTTGTCACTTTAATAAACGTAGATAGCAAGCTGTCTCGTAAACAGGAGTGTCTTACGTGAAATACTGGACCTTAGTGATGCTGAACCTTACACACCAAAATGATACTGATTTTATCCAAATGACTTGACAGACACATAAAATGTAGGATGATACCAATATATTGAGAACTCCGGGGTAAACCGGTTTTCACTTTCTTCAGGCATATGTGTACAAAACCGTAGTGTGACAGAAAACAACGTGAAGGTTGCCTTTGATGCTAAGGCACGTCCAAGCAAACCTTATGAGTGGATATGATCTAGAAAAAATACAGATATGCATAGCAACTTCACACGTAACGAAATAATAAAGAGAGAAGTAAAATGAAGGTACACGTTGCCAAAATAATAAAGCTGGAACGAAGTATGTAACTGCCAAAACGCATTCCATTACAGTGGAGCATAAGAGAAAAGGTATGTGATAAAGTGTACACGATAAATCGTACGACTGCTCCGATATTTAGTTGTAACACTGATGCTTCAAAGATTATCAGGATTGCAGTTTTGTCATTCGAAAGTTGAAATTGTGCGGGGAAAAGGAGCAAACACGAGTGAGAAAGCGTGTAGAAGTTAGTGAAGCATAAAAAAATAGGGGCTAAGGGACAGTATAATCAGTAGCTAGCGATGTGAGCACAACAACAACAACTTGTCAACAGTCTTGAGCATTATTAGAATAAGGATATAAGGTACACAAACTGTGGAGATACTGGCCTCAGGTACTAGCAGTTATTTCTTATTGAATTTCACTTGCATACAAATACCTCGTATATGAAAAAGAATAAGGGTTAAGTTGTCAGTAACATGTGTGATAGGATGCCGGAGCAGGAAATAGTGAGTAAAAGCCTAGCTAAAGTCTAAAAATGCTTCAGAAACTAGGTTTGTGAACAACTGAAGAAAAGTCACTAGTGAGAAAAGCGGTCCCTATTGCAAATGTAGGATGGGAAAAACAGTCAATATGCTTGTAGTGAATGCTGGTTGTGTCACTACTACGTGACATTTAACTAACCCTACTTAGCTTGATGTGCTCTAGTACCTGCTTAACCAGTACC